AGAAAAAATGTACAACTATTTCCCTTTTTTTTTTTCTCTCCAGAAAAAGACATTCTACTGTCTCAAACCTAGTTCATAATGCACATCTACAACACTTCATTACTTCTTGAAGAAAATGTTGTCTTACGAGTTTGGAATTGCAGTAAGCTCTTTAAGAATGGGAAGTGTACTGACAGGGTGAAATATATATCCACGTATACAATTCCCAATACCACGCACATAAAAATGAATGCTTCAGATGGTCAGAACAATGAAACAAAAAACTCTACTTTCTTGATTAAAAATGCCAACACGAACACAAAAATGTCATGGGGAAAAATAAAATTCATGAGCTAAATTTCAAATATGTCAATCTCAAGTATCAGTCATCAAGTCCCTCAAGAACAATACAAACATAAAATGAAAATATTACAGAATCTGCATGAAATTTTTCATCTCACCACTACAGTGTCTCATCTTCAAAAGCATCATATAATAGTGCACAGCAATCACATTATATCCTTCTATAAAGATAATGGATAAAATGTTTATAAAAAGTGATAGGAAAATTTTGGCATAAAAATATGAGGTTTTTTACTTTTGAAAAGAAAAGAGATGTAGTAAATAAAATAATACAAAGCCTCAAATCAACACACCATGTTCAAAGCTCTCAAACAAAATATTTCGTTCTAGTGCACACACAACTAGGGTGAAGTTGAAAACTTGTGCAATTCTTCACTCTTGAACTGAATTACGGTGCACCACGAACCCAATGGTGTAGTTGCGAGAGGCACGTCCCATCCTGCGAAGACGATCTGCAGCAAAAAGCAACATGACATTGAAACATTCTTTCTTCTTAATGACAACCTGTTCCAGAAACTAATGCACTGTCTTACAAAACTTTCATGTTATTGTACTTTATAATCTTTGGTATACCAGACCAAGATCAATTTTGAAACCAATGGTCACCAAGTTGTTTTAAGAATTCACATGAATTAATATAGTGAAAAAAAATAAAATTTCTTCACACTGGAGAAGCAGTAATAAACAACAGGTACCTTATTATTGTCTGATTTTAAAATCAAGATAGTGTGCTTGCAGGGTTACAGTTCAGTACCTCATATCTTTGTCTCATAAGCTTTCCACACTGAACTATATTGCCCAAATGCTATTTTCCAACATGTCCAAAATTCTCTGCCCTCATCTTGTACCTGCCTTATATTAATTACCTTACATGAATTTCTCCAATTTTTATTTTAATTAAAACAATTGTACACAAATTTTGGGAACACATTTCATCATGTTTATCCAAAAGCAATAGTGCCCATATTACAGATCTGGAGACCTACACAAAATTTTGCCAAGCCATTTTGACATTTGTTTAGTCTGGTTCATTCTAAGGCCCAGACCTGGATGCTCAACCAGACAGTCCCAAAGGATAGAGTTTGTCTTCCTCTTTTTTATCACTTGAAGACAGAAGCAGACTCCAGCTTCCCAAAACAGTGTATTTTATTTATTTACAAATCAGATCATGGATAAAGTCCAAGAACCTAATTTTACATATTATAACGTACCACCATCAGAAACCTTCAGACTTCATCCAAAGTTATACATTAAACTCCAGCTATGAAAACCTAAGGACAGGAATTTGTATGGAAGCAAAGAAATTACAGTGTGTCTGTAATGTTGTGGTGTAGATTTAAAGTTCAGCTACTATATTTTGTAACAGTATTAAAAGCACGAATAGAACAGTTAATGAAAGTAATACTGTCAACAGTTATATTGTTGATAGCAACTTTCAACATGAGATGTCACTCTGCATATCTCATTGGTATTCCAATTATTGCCAATCCAAAAGAACATGACTTACAGACTTCACAGTCTTTGATTCATCACTTTAAGTAATCAGTATCACAAATTTGCATACTCAACACCTCTCGTTTTATGTAGTCCCACAGATAAAAAATCAGCACAGCAAGGTCTGGAAATTAAGGTGGGTAGGTTTTTAAATTCCTCTTTCAATTCACCACGCTGAATGATGCTCATTTATAATTTTATGAAAGATTTCCACAGAGGAAGTGGGGATCTATAAAACTGAGAGTGTTTTACTCAGTCACTTAATCCACTTAAAATGCTGAACAGTGCATTTCAAACTACAACCATTAACACCATTACTACAAAACACGTAAAATCTGAGGTTGTCACTGCAGCGAAGATTCTGATTGTGGTCTTCTGAGTTGTGACACCAAGTAGTCCTGCAGGTGATTATCAACATTTCAGAGAAACCTATACCTGAAGATGAAGGGTATATTCCTTTAAAATGCTGTTCACCAATGACAAGATTACATGGCATAACCCGAATCACCATAATCAACATATTAACAAAGCAAAAATATTAAATGCCTGTATTGCTCCAATGATGTGTGCTGAGTTAGGGACACACACAACATAAATACTTCAATCCACACATGTGAAATACATGGGATACACAAGGATATATGCATTAAAACAACAAGCATCAGCACCATCTTTGCAGCAAAAGTATTACATTAACATTTCAAATTATAACACAACATCCCAAATAAATAGAAAGAAAAGATCAATAAAATCACATCTAACCTATTACATTCTCAATCAGAGACAGTGATAGACATTTCAATTATTTACTAATAAATGAATAATTTTATACATTACTATGTAATTATGTGAATATTAAGTAGCAGAATGTACACATTTTTCTTATGCACAATAAACGACTTACATGCAACATTAACTGACATACACTATATCTTAACAATGATTCTACTCACATGATCAAGTAACCGTCATTCTGAAAACTAAGGAGTTCTTTACGGGCCGAGAAAAGCGTGACGATTTGCACCCACAGCAATGAGTAAATAGAAGTATTTCGTATCAACCGATTCCATCCGACTTGATAATACACATCGCACAAACACAAAGTAGCTGGCATGGAAAACTGTGTATTATGAAAAAAAGGTGTTTGAACTGTTGTAAAAATGTTAGAATTAAAATTATTAATTTTATATTGTTTGGTACTGAGCATAATGTCTGCAATTTATTATTTAAGCATGCACATTTCTGATCTTATTATAATTAGAACATAGTAATGTACAAATTTCTGTAACATTCACAATCTGAATCATGAAAGTTTTCAATCAAAATTTTTCAATTTTGCAACATTTCACTGTTGTTAGAACAGCATAAAGATAATAAATATTCACTAAACTCAATAATGAACTAGCAATAACATGTACATGCTTCAGTTGCTATTATTTGGAATGTTGAGAGCACGTGTTTTAGCTCCAAAGACTCACAAATGTTAATAGCAATCTCATATGTGAAAACACTAGCACAATGGGAGAAATGTGTGATCAAACCTTAAGAGGTAGTTTTCTGTAATAATTTATGCTTCACCTTACAACTGCATGTAAAAGAATTAGGGATGGTATAAAAATTACTATGTATGCTTACTCATTTTCGTACAGCAGGCATATCAAATTTGTGGCCTGCCACCTGCATGCAGGCCTCTTCGATGTTTTATGTGGTCTGACTCAGTTATCAAATTAGATACATGTGACCCAATGTCCCAATTTTAATAACTTTTAGCTTTCATATGCATGTCAGATGTATTGACATTTTATTTTTCAAGTAAATAAAGTGGAAATATGTTTCAATTAAATGCACATTTTTATGCGCTTGCTGGAAAAAAAGAGGAACAAAAAATTTATCCTAAGCCTAAGCCTGAGAACAGTAAAAGTAGGCAGTTATTACATTCCTCACTCATGTAATGGCCCCCAGAACAGTCACTTATTTTTTATGCGACTCTTAGTAGACACTAAATTGGACATCACTGCTGTACAGTGTGTTGGTCTGTAATATGTTAAATATAAAACAAACATTTTCAATTGAAAAGTTCCCTTGCACACATAGTTAAAAATGTAGACCATAAACATACCTTGAAGTATTTGCCACTAAGGTCTTTCTCTCACTGCAAAAATGTACACAATCAGCAAATATACAACATAATATCAGCCCAGGACTTATGAACCACCTAAATTTTACTGTAAGAACTATTTCAGTGTACATACATCACTACATTATTGAAATAGACACTTATATTATGTAATTAAAATTAGTCAGATACTCTAATGTAAAACTACATTAAGTGAAGACCAATTTGCTAAAGCTAAATCTAAACCAAGTAAAAATGTCACACACTGAAATTAGGAGACTAATGGTTCAGTCATTCAAAGATAGGTCATTAATGAGCAGTAAACTGGTACATATCAATAATTCAGTAAGATATTTTGTTTCCTAAGATAAAGCATCAAAGGCTACATTTCTTTGCGATCAGCAAATTACTTCCCTTCCAAACTGAAAACATTAAAATGATTTAGATGGCTGTCTTCTGGGTTGCAGCACTGTATAGTCTGGTAGACGTTTACCGACGTTTCAGAGGTCCTTGCTAACTGCATCATCAGAATAACAAATCACTCACCACCATAACCCAGAAGACAGCAATCTTCAAACTAACCAACATGAGGACTGCAAATCCTACTTAGTAAAATTACTTCATGCCATGCTCATATTTTATCTTCATATCTCAACTACACCTGACTGCCAATGACACATTCTATGCATATCATATAAAATTAGACTTTTTAAATAATCCTATAAAATTCAAAATAATTATGTATATTTTGTTTCAATTTCTTTTCAATTGCACACTCAAAGGAAAACAAACTGCATACTCAAAGCAGCTTGTATGGCAGCTTCTAAATATGCGTATCACACTAATACAGCACAACATAAAGAGCAAAGGTACACAAACAATGAAAAGGAGTGTGGGTTGGGTCTCAGTCTTCTTCTTCTTTTTTTTAAAAAAAATAAATAAATAAAATAATAATAATCATCTTGTACCTGTAGTTGAGAAAGAACTTTCCTTATCTGCAAGTGTGTATGTTTTGTGTATACTTCACATGAGACTCCAATTCCCCTTCTGTTGTCAACCGAAATTTTGAATGTTTCTTATTCCCTAATCAAATTATGTCACTCTACTTCAAGCCGTTTTAAAAAAAAAACAGCCCATACATAAAATCAAAACAAGCTCATCAACCTTGTAAGTTGATAAGGTAGGTTCCAGTCATCTGCTGCTGCTTGTATAAAGTTCAAAATAAAGAACTGATATCCAATGTTTTGGATATTAAAAAAATCTCTCATAACAGTTTATAATATGGCAATCATAAGAAAACAAATAAACGTATGACAACTGATTGATGTATCTGAGCAGCTTGCATCATAAGATATCAGTACCATATGAAATATTTTAGTTTCTTCAGTGACTGACTATGCATTTGCATTGGAACAGCGATGTTTACAGACACTTCAGTGACAACCTACATTTCTGTTGGTCAACTCTTTTCAACTATGCACTATTTATAATGTTAGAATAATAGCAAAAATATTATGTACAGTAACTGTGCTAGATCTAAGTTAGTCTACCAAGCATTAGTAAGTTCTAGAGAAGTCAGTTTCAGCTTTGTTGCACCATGCTTCTTGCAGAACTAGTTTCATTCCTGATCAATTTACATTCCAAAACTCTTAATGCCTCATCCACAGGGCTCAATAAAACTTTCCATTTACCAACGCAAATTTCCGAGTATAACTTTTAAAGTCACTCAGACCATATGAAATGACCATTTATAACCCATCTTTTTGACTCTGCGGAATATGTATTAAGGTCTTTTAAGTTGTATCACTCAGAAAATTCAGGGGCATATTATATGCTTCCCGCCTTACACATTTTTAATATGTGTAATGATTTATATAATGCAAATCCCATGCATAATGACAGTCACCAGTATTTCTTTGTTCTGATACTGCAGTAAAATAATTATGCAAATGATAACCTCAATGTGAGATTCTTGAAGTTCTTACGGTGACAAGTATAAAGATGGCTGTCATCTGGATTGTAGCATTATTTTTTTTGATAGACAGTGACCAATGTTTGAGAGGAACTTATTACCTTCATCACCATAGCCAGCTTGATGATGACGGAAGTAAGCTCCTCTGAAACACTGGTCAGTAGCTACCAGAATAAATAGTGCTAATTCCCATATGACAGTCATTTTTATTAATCTCAATGTTTTATAAAAAGAAACGTGTCAGTAAGAAAAATCACAAATGTATGATGAAAAGTTACGTTAGAAAAAAATGTGTCACCAAGTACCATATTGTGAGGCATCACAAATTATGTACAACTGTTCTGAGAAAGATAATACAGTTCCAGATTCTGAGCAGCACGTCAGAATCAATATCACACATACTAGACGAACTTCAGCGCCAGTTCAAAGCAATATACCTTCTTGAGAGCATAAAGTTTATCATTATTTATTTGCTTTTAACTTCAAAGTGTAGCATAGGGAAATAGCCTGGCTCAACAAAACTGTACTTACCTTGCAAAACACTTGTCTTGTAGACCAGCCACCAGGAATCTGCTTTTAAAGAACAAAGATTCTACCACATTCTAAACAACTACATCAAATGAAGTTTAAACAAAAAAGTGGTGACTTTAATTCTAGAAGGATCTGATGATGGTATATTATTGGGCTTCTGGACTTCATTCATCGTGTAGTATTTGTAAAAGAACATACTTTGGAAACTTGATCTGTTTCTGTCCTTCATAAAATTTACAAACGCAGAGCTATATAAAAGTCCATACTAAAAGTACAAATCATTCTAAAAGGGTTCTGGTGATGGTACATTACAATATGTATTTGTGATTTTTTTGGATTTTGTTCATCATCTAATAGTCTCAAAAACAAAAAATTTCAGGAACTGGATCAGTTTCATTTTCATAAGTATCCTACAGGAGAGATGATTCTGACAATGATACATCACAGGTAGTATTACTGGATTTCTGTTCTTCATCCATCACCCAGTGGATGTTTTCACCATACAAGTTACAAAACATTGTGTTCTTTTAAGAATAGATGATGGACAAATTCAGACTATGTTCATTGCATCTAAAGTTCATGCAGGTATTTAAAAAATATCTACAAAAACATATAACTTCACCACCAGGGCAAATCCTGTTCCCATCGTCTTTTGTGAATATGGTGGCTGGCCACATTGTTAGTAGAAGATGTGAAGAAATGGTACTACTACCTATTAAATGAGACATCATCGCACTACGAGCTTGTTGCTCCAACCCGAGTCAGGCGTACTGCAAAACAAAGGAAAACCATCACTCATTCAGAATTACCAAACACTCAAAACAAAAATAAAAACTCATTCATTATACAGTTTGATGTATGGTGCTACCAATAACTCCCATACTCTGTTTCCAGAGGAGATAATTCAAACATGCATCAACGAATCTATGTACAAAAACAGCAGTAAAATAAAAAGTAACATTTCAAACACATTTTATTAGAGTTGAAATGCAGTAAATTCATTTGCAATTATTTATAGAGCTTAGAAAATTATTTTAGGGTAAAAAATAAATGCATGTAAATGCACAGTGAATATAAATAAAATATAACAGAAGTTACCTTCAAGTCTCCACTGTTTGCTTAAAATCATATTCCATTTCATCATACAATAAAAAATATATAAAAAAGCACAAAGTTGCAATTAAAAAGTGTACAAATGTAAGTAAAGATGCAAGGGAAGAACATAGCTAAGATATTGGTATCACCTCAACATCAAAAATATGACAAACTGCATGCAATGAAACTCCAGTGTCTTGACGCAGTCATCACAATGTCGTCCAGACCAACATCCACCTGGGAGCAGCCAAATGCTGAACAAGTTTCTCATTGAGTTAGAGCAATTATTTGTTTTAATACCCAGCACAACAGTCTCAAACCCTATTTATGAGTAACAGAAGAAAGGGATTGGCAATACAGGAGGAGTTACATGAAGAGTTAAAAGTTTAGACAGTTTTAAATTTTCTGAAAGTCTGCAAATCAGTCAACAGTTACATCAGCAGGACAGAACCAAAGGTCTGATGTCATTGACACTAAGTATTAGTCTCATCACATGTACTAGCCAAGCACAGATGAAAGACACGATGGAAGGAGTGAGGAAAGAAAAAGACTATATATATATAAACCTGGTTACCGATATACCCCACAACAGGACTTATCTAACTGTATATTTTTCGAAAGAAAGGTCGATTCATTTTAATGAAGAACTCCTCTCACAAATTTATGGACAAATTCAACAATACTAAATTGACTGACATATTGCCTATCATTAACACACTAAGTATATAATTCATGACAACAACAATCAGTAGTAAAAGTGATATTACTGTAAAAAGAGGATGAAGAAATATATCTTCAGTCACTTTAACATGAAAATAAAGATCTAGTACCTAGTAATTATTTCTATCTACATCTCAACTCCAACAAATGTACTTATTAAAATCAGGATTTTTCATCTTAACCATTTTCTCTCACATATTTCCTCCTAGACATAAAGAAACAAGGGGTTTTGTCAGCAAAATTATAATGGAAGTGTACCAAATTTTTACTATAAGTTGAATCATGACAATTTCACAATAAACTCAGTGTTTTGTTTTTCAGTGAACTTTTTCAATAATTTCAATTATAATTTCAGCAACAAACAAATTTTTATGCTAGGTATAAGTGAGACAGTGGCTTTTGAATTGCCACAATTTCATTTAACATCACTTATGGATAATGACAAATGCAAGCTGCAATCATGTTCACTGAATACTGTCTCGGTACCAACTAAGAAATGAGAAGCATATGTAGCAAGGCTTGAAATCATATTTATCAAACACTGGCTTTCAAAAGTCTTAACATAAAATGAAAAACGTTAAAAGCATTTCATGGATTACACAGCAATAAAACAGCTTTGGACAGAAAGCAAAATATGCAAAATAGATTATAAAATACTGCAAATAACCAGACTGATATACACATAACACTGTATATAATGGTACAGATATGAATAACATGGAAGACCCAGGTTCATGGATTATTTAAAATGGGAAATGAGAGGAACATTCATGGCTGAAATGACAAATCAACACACTTTTTAAATGAATATATAATCATGTCTTCCACCACACAATATGATAAAACTATTTTTGATGGTATCAGAAACATGATAACATGGATACTTGTATGCACTGATGCTGCATAAGAGGTCAGTGACAGTTGTCTTTGAGTTGTGTTGTGCTGGGTCAAGAATATCACATGCCACATGCATGTATCAACAATGGTGCAATGTCAAGAGCGTATCATATTAGTAAAAACACAATATAAAACCTCACACATCTAAATAACAGTACTGAAATAAAACTGTTATTAGATTAATTAATGATTAGTACATGATTAATGGCTATTTACAGTTTCTTTGTTATTTCCTACTATCATATGCGCCATCATACCAATATGATAATTGAAATTATACTCAGTATATGCTTAAATTGAGTCCATAACATAGATGTTTTATTCCATGTTATGGCATTACATATTCAAGTCTAAAAATGGTATCACACAGCATAAAAAATGTAAAAACTGAAAGAGAACAGAATTTGTACTATGTTGCACAGCATTGTAATAATACTATCAC